GGCAAGTCGCCTAGCCTCTCTGACCCTCAGTTTCCTTATCTGTAAAATGGGGGTAATATTCATACCTACCTGACAGGGTTGTTGTGAGGACGAAGTGACGCAATGCATGGAAAGTTCTGAGCACAGTGCCTGGTTCATAGTGGGTGCTCACAAAACAGTAGCCATTATCCTAATAATAATAGTAACAATTATCACTGTTGTCATTGTTGTTGAGTCACATGGAGCTACAGACAGACATGGGAGACAGCAACACATTCACAGAGCCCTCACTTCCTCCCATCCGCTCCCTCTCCCCACCACTTCCTCACTGTTCTTCAAACACTTCGAGGACATGCAGACCTCAGGACCTTTGCACTTGCTGTTCCCTCCATCCAGAAAACCAGCTTCAGTTATCCTGTGCTCCTCCCACCTTCCTGATTTCCCTGGCTCTGCTTTCACTTGTTTGTTGGTTTTAGACTTGTAACATTCTAACAAGATATAGAATTTACCTACTATTTTTATTAGCTATTGCCTGGCCTTTGATTAAGACATGAAGTCAGGATGTTGGTCTCTTCTGTCCCCTGCTGGATCTCCAGGGCCTAGGACAATGCTGGCATACAGTAGGCGCTCAACAAATATCTCTTGAATGAAGGAATAAATCTGCTTGACTTCCTCACCTCTTTCGGGTCTCTGTTCAGAGGCACCTCCTTCTAGAGGCCTTCTCTGACACAGATGCTTCCCCCAACCCCATCACTCTGTGCCCCTCACTCAGCTTTATCTTTCTTCTCAGCTCTCATCACCCCTGACATATTATTTATTTATGTTTCTGCTCTCCCAACTCCTTAGTTCCACAAGGGCAGGGGATTCTTCTGTCTGGTTCTAGCTGTATCGGGGGCCAACTTCATGGACACGTGACCTGTGCCTTCGCCCAGGGCCCCGAGCTTAGAAGGTTTAATACGCAGCTGTCATTGTCTTGAAATTCTTCATTCTTTTGAACCTGCATTTGCATTTTGCCCTGGGCTCTGCAAATTCTGCAGCCTGGCCTGGAACAGCCCATGGTAGGTGCTCAAGGATTTGTGGAGTGAAGGAAGGGTGGCCAGAGGAGCCCCATCGGCCGGGGTGTGTGTGTGTGTGTGTGTGTGTGTGTGTGCAGAGACACGTGTGTGCGCCACCACTGTCTGGAGCCCCATCGGCCGGGGTGTGTGTGTGTGTGTGTGTGTGTGCGCGTGCAGAGACACGTGTGCGCGCCACCACTGTCTGGACACCCGTGCGCGTTTGCAGGAATCAGCCCTGGTGGAAACCCAGGTTGGGGAGGCAGGGCCTCAGGAGCCAGCCTGAGTGCCCGGGTGGATGGGGGCACTAAACTGCCTTCCCCTCCCCCAGGCAGCAGGCCAGCTGGGGAGGGGCGTCCAGATGGCAGAGCAGGCCACTCTGGGCAGCTGGCACCCGGCTCAGGCTGGGAGAGGCCTTTTCCCCACCCAGCTTGTCAGCCACTGGCCCAGCCTGGGAGCCCCTGGCCTGGCCCGACATGGCTTCACCCAGCCCAACATCCTCCCTGAAAACAATATGGGGACGGGGAGCCGAGCCAACAAGATGGAAGGAAATGAGGATAAGCACCCTCGGCCACACCTTGGCCCTGAGCCTTCAAGCCTGAATTAGGGGACAATCACTACCCAAGCTCCATGCCTGGAGCTGGAGCAGGGCTGAGAAGGACAGTCAGGGGCGCCGTGCGTGTGTGTGCACGTGTGTGTGCGCATGAGACTTTGTACCCAACTGTGCATGTGCAACCGGACGGGTGGAACTTTCTGTGAGTCTGAGTTTGCGTAGTTGAGATCAGACTGTACCTGTGGGAGTGTGTGTACAGGACAGGGTGACAGGTCATGTCTGTGTGTGACTGTCATGAGTGTGTGTGTGTTGGGGAGGTGGGGTACATGCATGTGGATGCAACAGGAACAGCATTTCACAGTGGTTAGAAATGCAGATTTGGGGTTCAATTCTCTGCTCAGCCACTCATGAGCTGTATGGCCTCAGACACATTAGGTTCTCAGGCTTCAGCCTGAGTATTTGTTAGTATGATTATGTTTGTCTGGATTCAAGTGTGTGTGTGAAGAGTAAGCCACCTCCTCCAGGAAGTCTTCCTGGATGCCGAATCTGAATTGCACCCTTTCATTTTTCTTTCTTGTCAGAAGCCATCTATTTCCATCGAAGTCCTAATCATAATTTGTTGTTATATATTTATTTGTTTGTTTATGTTGTTTCTTTTCTGTTTCTTCCACTAAATATCAGCTCCAGGGGGGCAAGGAGTTTTGCTCTGTTCACTGCTGTGTCCCCCGCACCTGGCATATAGTAGGCGCTGAATACTTGTTGAATGGATGAATGCAGGGCTGTGTCTGCATGGTACAGAGGGAGAGGTGGGTGCTGGCTGGGCTCCCGGGGGGCCCTGTGTGCAAGTGTGGTCTCTACTCTCTTCCTTTCTCAGCTGTTCACAACCATGCCTTCAGCCATCCTCACTTTTAGGGGAACAATGTCCCCTTATCAACTCCCTGTATCACCGTTAACACCATCTTTTCCTTTCTCTGGGTCTTACGGACTCAGTTGCTTCATCTGTAAAATGGGAGAGGGGATGGATCGGTTCATGATAAGCTTCCTTCCTGATCTCAAGTGCCATGAAAATAGTTTTAATCTAAGCCCTTCTTTAATTCATTCAACATTTATGGGGCGCCAACTGTGTGCCAGGCCCTGTTCTAAAGCCGGCCCTGCCCTCGTGGAGCTGAAGTGAACAAGGAAGGCAGGAACGACCCAGAAATCTCATTTAATCTCCAACACCCCCCCACCCCCGCCCTTGCCTGATGGAAGGTTCGTCTTCACGGTCTGAAATCGCCGCGGGTATTTCTCTGTTTAGACACGGATCTTGCTCCCTCGCCAGCCTTGAGGGGCAGCAGAGCAGGGACCCAGCTGGTCTTGTTGGTGGCTGTAGCCCCACCGCCTGGCCACAGCGCCCCGGCACATAGTAGGCTCTCCGGAAATATGTGTGAAATGAGCTAAGAAATAAATGATGGAGGAAAGGCAGGCTCGCGTGCATGGCCTCTGGGCATCCTGGCTGCGTCATTACCCACTTTGCAGATGGGGACATTGAGGCTCAGGAAGGCAAAGCCGCTTGCCGGGGCCCACCGCAGCTCAGTAGCGAGTGCGTGGCTGTGGGATACAGCAGAGGAAGCTTGTGTAGCCCAGAGGAGCACTCCCAGCCCCCGCGCCCACCTCACAGGTCCGAGAGACGAAGCAGGGTGTGCTCTGACGGGAGGAGGGGGGTGGGAGACCGAGGGACAGTGCAAAGCAACTCAGGGGTCTCTGTTTCGGTCCCCAGGGTTGGAGATGCTGTGCTGGCAGGAGATTCGGAAATGCTCCTCGCTGATGGGGCGGCTTCCGGCGCCCTCTCTCCAGTTCTGGGAGCTGTGGCTCCTAGGACCCCGTTTCGCTGGCACCGGGCAGCTTCAGTCTCCGAAGCCGGGGAGAGACCCCCGCGCCTACCCGGGAATCCCCGACATCCGGGGTCCTCCCCACACACCCCGAGCCCGGAAGCCGGCCTGAAGCCTCCAAGGGCGTACTGGGGGGCCCCGGCTTTCTTGGGGAGCAGGGGAAGCCCCCACTGTCCTGGCCCCCTCCCTCCGGGGCGCCGGGTCTCCCTCCCCACCGCAGCTCCCAGCCCGAAGCTTACCTTGCAGGGGGGCTGGGGAGGGGATGCCCCGCCCTCTCCGGCCTGGGGGCCGGGAGGGGACAGGGGTGTCCAGACCCTTTGTTTGCTGGGGTGTGTGTATGTGTGTGTGCGCGGTTGTGAGACCCGCTGGGGTGTGGGTCCGTGCGCGCGTGCTCGGGCCGTGACGGCCGCTGAGATGCTGGACTGCCCGGGCTGGAGGGGGAGGGGTTGGGGGAGGGGGAGGAGAGGGACTCCCCCGCCCGCCCACTCACGGGGTTGAATGGAGCTCGAGGGGGAGGGGCGGCAGCGGGCGGGCGCTTTTGTTTGAATGGCCCCACCTCCTCCCCAGGCCGGGGAATCCCCCCCCAATCTGGAGCCCTTTACTCCATCCCCTCCAGCCCCCTCCCTGCAAACAGCAGCTCTGGGAAGAGGCGCCCCTCACCCGAGTGAAACTCCTCCCATCCCACCCGGCCCCCACGGAGCGCCCTTTAATCTGAGATAATCCCGGCCCTCGGCTGCAACACGGCCTTTTATCCCAGTATCAAAGCGTGGGTTGGGGTATACGCAAGAGTGCGGCTGGAGTCGCCCAAGCTCAGAGTAAGGGAGTCCTTAGAGCTCCGGCCGAGGAAGGGGGCCCCAGACGAAAGGGGAGGGGCTGGAGGGGTCCTAGAGCACCACGACGAGGAAAGCCCCCATCCGCACCTCCACGATCCCCCCCCACCCGGCCCTGCACGGGGCCAGGAGCCCTGACCGCTGGCTAGACATTAGCGACACCTAGCGGCCGCACGGGGAGACGCCGCGGGCGGGCGCCCGGGACCCGTTGCGGGGGATCCGGGTGATTCCAGAGGGGGCGTGTGTGCGCGAATCTCCGCTCAAGAGTGGCGGAAGATGAGGACGCTGTGCCCGAGCCTGGAAAACAGCAGCCCCCAAAGCACAGCCACTTCGCCCCCACCTCCGACGCCCCAAGGGCAAGGCCATATCCCTCCTCCAGTTACAGCCTCCCAGGGCAGGGCCCTGTACCCCTCGGACTGGGAAGGTCCTCTCCGATCCGACACACCCCTCCCCAGCGTAGCGTTAGGTCCCTCCCCACACAGGGCAGAGGGGCGGGTAGTTTCGCCGAGGCCCCGCCCCTGCAGTGGGCTCGGGCTGACGTCACTGCGGCGTGACTAAGGGGACAATCCTCTCCCTCAGTCTCACGAACTGTCCCCTCCACCCCACGGCCGCCGCAAACGCCCGACGTGGGGCAGCGGGAGATGCGGGGGGATAGAGGTTAGAGCGCCCTCCCGTATACCCCCAGGAGGTGCCTGGGTCCGGATGAGAGGGGGTCTCGGCGGGGACTCCCGGGGGCCAGCACACGTGCGCAGGGCCCTTTAAGGCGAGCTCGGTCGCCAGCGCCGCCGCCGCCGTTACCAAGGATGTGACGTCATGCGCGGGCAGGGGCGTGCGCGCGCAGGCGGAAACGGAAGGGGCGGGGCTCCGCGGGCTGAGCCTCCAGCGCTGCCGCCGCCGCCGCCGCCGCCGCCGCCGGAGCGGGCTGGGCCGCCGAGGCAAGATGGTGGACTACAGCGTGTGGGACCACATCGAGGTGTCTGACGATGAGGACGAGACGCACCCCAACATCGACACGGCCAGCCTCTTCCGCTGGCGGCACCAGGTAGACCGCGTGCGCCCATCCCCTTCCCCCGCTGCCGGGACTCCGCTCCGGAGTTCTGCCCCCCGATACCGCCAGGGCCCCGCCATTGACACCCGGGATCCCCACCCCGCAGTCTGGACTTTCATTATCGCCCGGGGTTCCTTGATTCAACTCCGGGACCCCAGAACTGCCGGGACCCTGGGTTCCTGCCCGCGATCCGGGCCCCCCTTCCGATTTCTGCATGGAACTCCCAGTTGATCCCTAGGGCACCTTCTTCGGAGGCTAGACTCTCAAGATAAGCTTTGGGGGTGCCCCCCAATCCTGTCTGGGACCTTCCATCTACACTCAGAACTCTGCCTCAGAGTCTGGACCCGGGTCCTATTCGGGTACCCACTTTTCTTGGATATCCCATCGGCTCTCCCCAGTTCCTAGAGTCTGGACCCCTAATACTTTGCTTCTATTCTGGAATCTTCCTCCCTGGGTCTTGACGGGGTTCCCATTCAGATCCAGAGATCCCACTCCTCCAAACAAAGCAAGGAGCTCTGTCTTCCCCTGAGATTTCTGTTCCTGGCCTGGGACTCGAAGCCATACCCAAGACTCCTTTCCTAGAGTGTAGACCCGTGCCCCCCCAGGGCCTTCAGTCCCATCTAGGACTGGAGTTTTGGAATCGGGTTCCCTTCCAGACTGAGCCACCAGCTCCACCCTGAGGGAGCCTCCACTTCCAGCCGCTCTTCTTTAGTGTCACCCACTGCAGACCTCATTTCCGATCACACCTGGAAACCCTACCCACGTGGCTCCCGCCCAGCCAGAGCCCCTGCCTCTGCTGGGTAGTGCAGACCCAGTCATTGCCCACCCCAAGACGGGCTTCCTGTGGGAACCTTTGCTGGCGTTGGAATTGTCACCCAAACCCAAGGCCACCTCGCCTTCCTCCTGACCCCAGGCTGGTCTGCTGTTCTCGGACACCCAGATTGTCCCTGCCCCCACCAGGGACCCTCCCAGTGTGATTTCAAATTCACTGCCCCTTCTTTTATCTCTTTGCTCTTAAATCCAGACCCAGAATCCCAAGTCTGGGTGTCCTCTTGCCCCCCTCCCTGCCCAGCAGTGCTGGCAGACCAACAGAATGGCTCTCGTAAGACCTAATGGCCTAACCTGCTCCCCCAAATCAGAACTCCTGCACCCACATAGGTATAACATACCTATGTTATACTCTCAAACTGAGGGTGTATATCTCTCAGAACCTTCCAGTTAGAAATTCCTCACTCCACTCTCCCATATGGCTACTCCCAGTCATTTATCCAGAACCTCCTAGAAGGGCCCTTCCCTGTCCTGCCAAGACAGGGCGTTAGTCCCTACAGCTGGTTCCCGGTTCCATCTCCAACCCATTCCTTAAAGCAGCTGTCTCTTGGCCTGCCGGGCAAGCCCCTGAGGTGTAAGAAGAAAGTTCTAGCACTTGTGCTTCTTGCCGTGTGTAACACCTTATTATGAAAGACTTAAGACCTTCACAAAGCTCTAAAAGACTATTCTTGGGAACACCTCTTTCTGTCACATTCAGAGGTTAATCTATAGCTCAGAATGGAGAAGGGTTTGGTCCTGCTGGGTGGGAGGCGGGTGCCCCCTCTCCTGCAGCGTCTTTCTCCCGCCACGCCCTCTTCCCGCCTCCCTCCTGGCCCAGAACATTTTCCTGTCCTGCTGCCAAGAGAGCCCCGAGGCTGTAGTGGAGGCAGGGGGCCTCAGCGGCTCCACCGGCAGGCAAGCCTGGGTTCTAATCCCAGCCCTGCCCCTTGCTGCTCTGCTCTGGGGGCAGCAAGACCCCTGGTTCCCAAGACCACTGTAAGAATGAAATGAGGTTGGGTCTGAAAAGAACTTGGCTCAGGGCCTGGGAGGGAGTAAGGTAGCAGAGGGGGCGGTGGGGTTAGTAAAAAGGGATCTGGGTGTGCTTCTGAGCGCAGGCCTGCCCACCTGGCTTCACATCCTGGCTCCTGAATCCTTGACTTGCTGCATGACCCCCAGCGAATCTTTTGATCTCTCTGTGCCTCAGTTTCCCCAGCTGGCAGTATTAATAGTATCCACCCCAGAGGGTTGTTATAAGGGTCACCTTATTTGTTTAACGCGTGTAATGCCCTTGAGACAGCAGCCGGCATGTGATGAGCTCTCTGTAAGCCTTAGCCATTATCATCATCATTTTTATTTAGATAATTCACACTCATGGTAAAAAAAAAAAATTCCGAAGTTTCCAGAAGGGGACAGGTGAGGCTTCCCAGCTCCAGCTCCCTGGCTCCTTTGCCATTACTGGTTTCTTGGGGCCCTTCCAGTGAGCTGTGCGGCGTCAAGATTCCATGAGCCTCAGTTTCCCTGTCTGTAAGGCGGGGAGGCAGTGGCACCTTCTGGCTGCCGTGGCTTCCGCCCTGCCCGGCCTGCTGCAGCCCCTCCCGGAGGTGTAAAGCCCAGGCCGGGCAGGCTGCCGCCCCCACCAGCTCCAAGCCCTTTATTTAGCTTCGGCCTCCCTGGCGGCCACTCAGACGACACCTGGGAGAGCTTGGTGGCCGTGCAGCAGAAGCCAGCAGGGCGGTAGGGTCCTGCTGCCAGCCGAGGCCAGCTGTGTGCCAACCCCAGAGAGCCCCTCGCAAGGCAGAGGGAAGGCTCCAGGGTGACGCAGGCCCACGGTGGAGAAGGGGAGGCGGCAGGGGCCAGGGCTGCCTTCTCTTACCCCTCCACGAGGCGAGAGCCTTTTCCACCCCTTATCCACATGGGGAGAGGGAGCTCCGGGTTGGCCGTGCCAGCCCTATGGGGCCTTAGAGAAGGTTCTTCCCATTCTCATGCTCCATGTGCCTGGCCCTGTGCTCGAACTCGCGATACAGCCTCGAATGAGGCCCAGACACGAGTCAGCAGACCATTCTGGTGGCAGTGGCCGTGACCACGGTCGTAACAGTGGGACCCGTCTACTGATTCCGGCGTTACCGGCAGTTTCTGTCAAGTAGCTCAGTCCTCACAGCAGTGCGAGGCCCCATTTCACAGAGGGGAAACCAAGGCAGGGAGAGGTGTAAGCGGCTTGGCCAAGGTCAGGGGCACGTCACGGGTAGGTCGTGGAGTTACTGATGATGTGGTAACGACCACCCCCAGTTATAAAGCGTTTCCTCCGGGTCAGAACTGAAGCTGAGCCCTTGAAGTCCATTTCCTTGTTGGAGCAGAACGGTCCTCAGAGAGACTGTCCCCTTGGACGGATGGTAATGACAGTAGCCAGCATGGGAACGGTGCTCTGGACTGTCTCCTTTAATTTATAATCTCCTCTGCTTCTCCCGGTGCAACCTGTGAGGTTGGCGTTGTTGTTTGCATTTGACAGAAGAGGAAACCGAGGTTCCGAGAGGTCAGGGGATTGGCCCAGGGACACCCAGGCAGTACGCTGTGGCCGTGGGACACGACCCCAAGTCTGGGGCCCCGAGGCCATCCTCCAGCATCTCATCACGTCCTCTGATCATCTCGGAGGGCCTTTGGGGTTCAGTGACGCCCAGGGTGGGGACACTTGGGAAGCCTCTGTTGAAGCTGAGACTTGAGTACAAAGCAGATGGAGGGAGGGGAAGAGAGTTGCAGGTGGAAGGAACAGCATGTGCAGAGGCCCAGAGGCAGGAGAGAGCTGGTGCATTTGGGGAACCACAAGGGTCAGCATCTGCCTGGGACCCAGAGTTGGGAGCAGAGGGCAGGACCCTGCCCCCCCACCGGGCCGTGGTGCCAGCTGGGCAGCTTGGGGTGGGGTCAGGGGTCCCATCTGAACCCAGACACTGCAGGATGGGGTGGCAGGGAGGGCTGCGCTCAGATGTGCGGGTTTCAGACTCCTCTGGCAGCTTCCGAGTGGACTGGGGGACAGCGATTGAAGGCGTGGCTCCTCTCTTGGGAGCCGAGGGAGATGGTGGTGAAGCCTGGCGGGAGTGGAGAGCAGACAGGGCCGTGCCATCTGATAGGGGCCCAGATAGGGGACTAGCGAGAGGGGGAGTGAGGAGATGGGGCATCATCACCAATCTTGGGGCACAGCCCAAGAGGAGGTCTGGGGAGTGACCTCCGGGGCGGGGGGACAGGAGGCCGGTGGACACCGAGCTGGGGCTCAGGAGGGCATGCTGGCCCCAAGACAGAGCTCAGGGGCCCCTGGCAGTGATCCAGGCACAACACTCGGGGTGGGGTGAATTGGAGAAACATCTAGAAGTGAAAAGTGTTAGGACTTGGTGGCAGAGTGGGGGGACGAGACAGAAGCCCAGGTTTTAGGGGCTAAGATGGTGAGTCCAGTTTTGGACACAGAGTTGGAGGCACCTATGGGACGCCCAGACAGAGGTGGCTTGAGGGGGCAGCTGGGCAGGGGAGGGGGCCCAGGTGTCACTGAGGGCAGCTCCGGGGAGGAGGGGGGTGCCTGAAACCCTGGTGGGGGGTGGGGCCCCCATCCAGCTCCTCTTGACTTTGTTCTTCCAATAAGTGATTCCAGAACCTCCACTATGCGCGTGTATGGAGACACACCAGAGAACAGATCCCACCTCCATGGAGCAGATATGCTTGAAGGGGGACAGTGCCCTTAACGTGAGAAATAATTGTCACCAGCTGTTAGCAGGTGACAAGTGCTGAGGAGGAGGATAAAGCAGGATGAGGTTAAGGGGAGGTCTCCATCTTCGGCAGGATGGTCAGGGAAGGCCTCCTCTGTGAGGCGACATTTGAGCCCAGAGGGTTAGGATGGGAGGAGCCAGCTGTGGGGGATCTGGGCAGAGCGTTCCAGGCTGAAGGAACAGCCAGTGCAAAGGCCCTGAGGTTTGAAGTGAGTTCAAGAAAAGGTGAGGCAGCGAGTGTGGCTGGAGGGAGGGGGGGAGTGGGAGGAGGTGAAGCCATGGAGGTGCGAGGAGGGCTTGGGCTTCTGCTTTGAGTGAGGTGGGAGCCACGGAGGTGTTCTGAGCAGAGGAGGGACCTGCCCTGACTCCGGGGGCGCAGGCACCTGTGGGGGCGAGGGCGGAAGCTGGCCATCTAGGGCTCGGAGGTTGCTGCAGACCTTCCCTGGGGCCATCTCGGGTGCAGGGGGTCGCGGGGCGGGCCGTTCCCCCGGCGTGATGGGCCGTCCTGCCCGCAGGCCCGGGTGGAGCGCATGGAGCAGTTCCAGAAGGAGAAGGAGGAACTGGACCGGGGCTGCCGCGAGTGCAAGCGCAAGGTGGCCGAGTGCCAGCGGAAGCTGAAGGAGCTGGAGGTGGCGGAGGGCGCGGGCAGCGAGGCGGAGCTGGAGCGGCTGCAGGCCGAGGCGCAGCAGCTGCGCAGGGAGGAGCGCAGCTGGGAGCAGAAGCTGGAGGAGATGCGCAAGAAGGAGAAGAGCATGCCCTGGAACGTGGACACGCTCAGCAAGGACGGCTTCAGCAAGGTGGGCGGGGACTCGCGCGCGTGCCCGGCGGGCGGCCGGCGCCAGGTGGGGGCGGGGCTGAGGGCCGCGGGAGGGAGGGAGGGAGGGAGGGAGGAAACAAGGAAGGAAGGAAGGAAGGAAGGCGGGACGGCGGGAGGGAGGGAGGGAGGGAGGGAGGAAACACCCCACCGGTACCCCCTCTGATCTGCCCGAAGGCCCTAGTCCGAGGCCACACCTGCCACGCCCACGCTCCCGCCACCCTGATGTTCGTGGCGCCGTCACCGCCTCCTCCGTGGATGGGATGGGCGCTGCGGCCGCGGCTCGCCCGGCCCCGTTCCAGGCGCTCCGCGGCCTCGCCCCAGCCCACTCCCCCTGTCGCCCCGCCACAGAGCATGGTCAACATCAAGCCGGAGCAGGCGGAGGAGGAGTCGGAGGAGGCGAGGGAGCAGAAACACAAAACCTTCGTGGAGAAGTATGAGAAGCAGATCAAACACTTCGGTGAGCTGGGCGCAGGGGCTGCAGAGGGGAGGGTGCCAGGGCGGGAGGGTGCCAGAGGCTGGGCGGCCCTCTGCCTCCAGGCCCCTTCCAGCACCTTCCCAATGTCTTCTCACAGGCATGCTGCGCCGCTGGGACGACAGCCAGAAGTACCTGTCGGACAATGTCCACCTGGTGTGCGAGGAGACGGCCAACTACCTGGTCATCTGGTGCATTGACCTCGAGGTGGAGGAGGTGAGTGGATCGTGCCCCGGGGCCCGGGGGAGGCTCTGCTCTGAGGCCGCCACTTGGTGACGGCGTGCCTGCTCTCCCTCGGCAGAAATGTGCCCTCATGGAGCAGGTGGCCCACCAGACCATCGTCATGCAGTTCATCCTGGAGCTGGCCAAGAGCCTGAAGGTGGACCCCCGCGCCTGCTTCCGGCAGTTCTTCACTAAGATTAAGGTCGGGGTCCTGAGCAGCCGGGGCGGGGTGGGGGGGTGATCGGAGGCCCCCTCCTCAGGGAACTAGCCGAAGTCCACCGGGGGAGGTGGACACGTGTCCGCTTAGACTCACCCCGTGATCAGCTCCTCATGCATCAGGAGAGGGCGGGGCGGGGGAGGGGCCGAGAAGGGGTCGGCTCCGGGACAGATTTTGAAAGCAGAGTTGACAGGATGTGCCGAAAGTCTCCGGGAGAAAGTCTCCAAGTCAAGAACACCTCTGGGTTTCTTCCCTGAGCACACGGAAGACCAGAGCTGCCCATGCTGAGCTGGGGGAGACTCAGGACGGGGCAGGCGGGGGACAGTCAGGGGCTCGGGTGGGGGTGTGGCGTTTGAGGTGCCTGTGGGAGGCCCCACATGAGGACACGGAGGAGGTGGGGGGCAGGGGTCTGCGGGTCGGGCAGGTGGCGGGGACCAGACGGAGGAGGGAGTAGAGAGGCCTTTGAGCTCAGGACCAGAGTTGGGGAGCCCAGGGCGTCTCTGAGGGCCTGCAGCGGAGGGTCCTGGGTCCCCAGTGCCCCCCAAGCCCCGGGCCCAGCCCAGTGAACACCTCCCCCAAACGCCCCCCAGACGGCCGACCGCCAGTACATGGAGGGCTTCAACGACGAGCTGGAGGCCTTCAAGGAGCGCGTGCGAGGCCGCGCCAAGCTGCGCATCGAGAAGGCCATGAAGGAGTATGAGGAGGAGGAGCGCAGGAAGCGGCTCGGCCCCGGCGGCCTGGACCCCGTGGAGGTCTACGAGTCCCTCCCTGAGGTGCGGCTCCCCAGCCCCAGGCGGGCGGCCTGGCCCGCGGGCCCCGCGGGGTCCCAGGGACCCAGGCCCTGAGCGCGCCCCTCTGCACCCACAGGAACTCCAGAAATGCTTTGACGTGAAGGACGTGCAGATGCTCCAAGACGCCATCAGCAAGATGGACCCCACCGTGAGTAACCGCGCCCCAGGCCCGCCCACCAGCCAGGCTGGGCGCCCCAGGCGGGCGACACGTCCCCCTCGCGTCCCTCCTGGGCTTCTCGGAGGAATAAGGGAGATTGTGTCACCAAGCAGCTGGCACACACGGCAGCCGGGCTTTCCTGCCACACACACACTCGCATTTATTGAGCACCTACTGTATGCCTGGCATCCAGCAGTGAACGTGGACCTTTCAGGCCGTGTCCCGTATGATTGAGTGTCACTGTCACTGTGGGCTGTTCATGAGCTTAGCCGGCACATCCCAAGGAGGAGGGCTCCTCCCCAGCCTCAGTTTCCCCATCAAACCACAGTTTCTCTTGATTTTCACTCACAAAATGCGTGGGGAGGGCTGAGCACGTGGTAGGTGCTGATAAACATCCATGTTATTGTTAGGAACAGTGATGGCGCTGGTAGATGAGAACTTTGAATCTTAATAGACCTTGGTTTGACCCCATTCCTGCCTCTCAGCTCACTGGTTGGCCACACTGGTTTCCTCATCTGTAAGACGAGTCTAGTTGCCAAACCTAGCCCCGGGTTTCTAGAGACTTCCATGAGAATGAGCATCCAGATCAAGGGTCTTCAAACCACAGCTCGCAGGCTCACTGCGTGTTTTTATAGTTTTATTAGAACACAGGGGCCGCTCTCATTGATTTTCTCATATCGTTTCTGATTTGTGCTACAACCATCAAGTTCAGAAGTGATTGGTTGCAAGGTGGCGACAGAGACCACGTGGCCTGCGAGCCAAAAATATTTGCTCTCTAGCCCGTTACAAAAAAAGGTTTGCTGACCCTTGTGCCAGAGCTACACTATTTAAATTTGATGTAAAGTAAAATTTAAAGTTCCGTCTCTCTCCTGCACGAGCCACACGTGGCTGGTGGCTGCCACGTTGGAAGCGCAGATCATAGAGCACTTGCATCAGTGCCGACAGTTGTTTTGGGCAGCTCTGATCTAGAAGGAGCAGTAAGCAGGCTTGAGGATGTGCGGGGACAGACCGGCCGCCAGAAGGTGGCAGCCTCGCCTCACGCGTCCGCCCTTCTCCCCGCAGGACGCAAAGTACCACATGCAGCGCTGCATCGCCTCCGGCCTCTGGGTCCCCCACTCCAAGTCCAGCGAGGCCAAGGAGGGGGAGGAGGCGGGCCCCGGGGACCCTTTGCTGGAAGCCGCCCCCAAGCCAGGCGACGGGAAGGATGTCAGCGCGTGACCCGCCCCGGCCGCCTCCCGCCTGCCTGCAGGCCCCTGGGCGCCCCTTTCAGAGAACAAAACTAGATGCCATGTCCCCAGCTCCTGGCTTTCTCCACTTCTGCTGCCCTCGCCCCCAGCCCCGGGGGCCTGCCCCCCATGGCCCCACCCCCCCCCAGCACTCATCCAGTCTGCTTTGAGTCAAGGGGCTTCACTGCCTGCAGCCCCCCATCGACATTATGCCAAAGGCCCGGGGGGCCAGGGAAGGGCAGAGGTCGCCAGGCTGGTCCGCGGGGTGGGAGGAGGGTCCCGGGCTGAGGGGCGCTCGCCGGTCACTGTGGGCTCTGTTTTCGCCGTCTGTCCGCTGTCTTCTATATGGTAAACAGCAGTGACCTTCCAATAAAGGATTTCAGATGTTCCGCGGGGCGATGTGGGGGCTGTTGGCGCAGCTCTTCTCGTGGGGGTGGGGGGGAACCTGGTGAGTGTTGGCGGCTGGGTCCATGCAGCCTCGGGCTTTGCCCTCCTTCCCTCTGGGCGACTCCCTCTGTCCTCACTCCAGGCTCTTGCACAGGCTCTTCCACTGCCCGAACCGTCTTCCCCGAGATGCCTCTACATCCAGGTTCTCAGCTGGCCCCCCGCCCCTCAGTCTTGGGCTTATCTTATCCCGCAAGCCCCCTACCACAGTCCATTCGGGAGTATCCTCTCCATCATGTCTTACTTCCACCCGGCCAGAGCCGCCTCCAGAACAGACCTTGAGTCCCAGCACTGCCCTTCCTCCCAGCGGCCTCCACTCTGCTCCGGGTCCACGTAGCCTCTGGCCTGGACACCTGCCCTAGCCTCCTCCCCGTCTCCTCCTTCCACACTGGACCCCAACAGGCAACGGCCGGAGGGCACCCACGAGCGCGCCAGTCAGGTCACCTCCCTCCCCCAGAGCAGAAGCCAAAGTCCTCCCTTCAGCTCACCGGGCCCTGCGCCATGTGCTGGTCACCTCCCTGCCCTTGTCTCCTGTCCTCCCCTCTTCTCTATCAGAGTGACCTTGGGCAACTTAGCTGCAGTGTCCCTCTCTGTACCACGAGGGTAATGTTGGTGCCCTCCTCCCGGGGTTGTGAAGACGAGTAGATGAAATAACACCACAGGCAAGCATGGTCTCTGGCACTTAGATCCTCAAGAATGTGGGCCTTGGAGCATGCGTGTTCCTCTGCCTCAACACCCTTCCCCGAAGTCCTCAAGTAGGGCTCCTTTAAAAAGTAGTAAGACATTTGGGCCACGTGAAGGCTTACGGAACAGTATAATAAACAAGGACCCATCAGCTTAAGACGTGACATACCAAGGATCCAGTGAAGCCCTCTGCCCGCCCACCGCCTGGCAGCTCCCTGTCTCTCAGACCAGAGCTCTGCCACCTCCTCCCAGAGCCCCTCCTTGACCTGCCTTCTGGGTGGCCCCTCACGCCCAGCCACGTACCTTGCCTCGCCTGCCGACCGGTGTGTTGCCGTCTGCCTTACGCTGTGAGCGCCACCAAGGCACAAACCGAGTCTTTCCGGGTCCTGAGATACTCGGGGCCCGGGTTCGCAGAGCAGAGCCCTAGGATGCTGCGCCCACATGGTCACCTGCAGGGGGCAATAACGAGCTGCAAATCCCAGTGGCGTCACCTAATGCTCTTTATACGGACGAGAAGGGCAGGTGGGGGATCCGAGGACACGGGAGGGAGTGAGATGCATCCTATAGCCCTGGATAAACCTCTCCCATCCAGGGTCCACCTAGGACGGTCAACTTCCTAATTCTTGACTGTGAAAACTTGCAAAGAGAGAATCCGTGTGGCTGATCTTTCCTTTTGCCTCAGGCTCCAAAGTAACCCAACACTGTTACTGATTCTTTGCTTAAAATTTTGATATTTTGTTCATTACGGGTTTTTTTCATGTTAATTGTGCTTTTTGAAACAATCGCATTAAAGTGTTTATCTTGGTCGCTGAGTTTTTTGGCGCCCTCTTTGCTTTGATGCCTTTCCTGCCTCACCCTAGTGGTGACCCTGGTGGGACACAGGATTTAAGACATCAAATGATATTAAGAGAGAGACCGTGAAGCGGCTCCCTCTCTACTTGTCCTCCACCCAGCGGTTCCCTGCCCTCAACCACGGGAAGCCACTGTCTACAGTTTCCAGTGACTCCCTCTGGGGTTTCCTTCTGTAAAATCAAATATATTCTTATCGTGGGGCTGGCCCCGTGGCTTAGCGGTTAAGTGTGCCCGCTCCGCTGCTGACGGCCCGGGTTCGGATCCCGGGCGCGCACCGACACACCACTTCTCCAGCCATGCTGAGGCCGCGTCCCACATACAGCAACTAGAAGGATGTGCAGCTATGACATACAACTTTCTACTGGGGCTTTGGGGAAAAAAACAAAAGCAGGAGGATTAGCAATAGATGTTAGCTCAGAGCGGGTCTTCCTCAGCAAAAAGAGGAGGATTAGCATGGATGTTAGCTCAGGGCTGATCTTCCTCACAAAAAAAAATATATCTATATATATATATTCTTATCCCATCCCCTCCTTTTTACACAAAACGTAGCACACTCTGCAACCTGAAGTGCCTCTTGCTTTTTACTTTCAATCATATGGCCCTTTCTTTATCAGGACATCAGTACTTCCTCATTCTTTTGACCGTGTGGAAAGTTCCAGGATGTGCATATCTCAGTGTTTATTTCCTCAGCCCGTTTTGATCAGCACGTGAGTTCTCTCCAGTCTCTACTTTTACAAGCAATGCTGCAAGGAATTCCCTTGTGCACCATTTCCCGTGAGTATGGGCATGCTACCTGCAGGATAATTGCCCACAAGCAGGAGGGCTGGGTCTTAGTGGAAACAGAATTCCACTTAAAAGGGTTTAATGGAACCAACTACTGAAGGGCTGATGTCAACTGGAGAACCGACAGACGTATATTGAGTGTATTAGTTTTCTGTGGCTGCTCTAACAAACGACCACAAACTTGGTGGCTTCGACACAAATGTATTATCTTACAGTTCTGCAGGTCATAAGTCTGACGTGGGTCTGACCGGGCTGAAATCCAGGCGTGGGCATGGCTGCGATCCTTCTGGAGGCTCTGAGTAGGATCCGTTTCCTGGCTTTTTCCAGCCTCTCGAGGCTGCCCACATTCCTTGGCTCGTGGTGTCTCTTTCCATCTTCAAAGATGGCCAAGATGAGTGAGATCCCCATATCACATCACTCTGACCTCCTTTTCTGCCTCCACCTCCACTTTCAAGGATCCTTGTGATTTTTTTGAGCCCGCCAGGATAATGTCCTCATTTTAAGGTCAGCTGATTAGCGTCCTTAATTCCCGTCTGCAACCTTAATTCTCCCTGGCCACGTAGCATAACAGCTTCCAGGGATTAGGACATGGACATCTTTGGGGGGTTGTTATTCCGTAAGGCACCCCAGAACTAGCAGCAGTGGCGAGCTGTTAACACATCTAAGGCTAAAGAGCATGAAGTGGGAGCAAAACTTGCCAACAGCTGGAGCCTAAAAGAAGATGCTCTCTGCAGGCTATGTGGCCACAGAGAAACACAGCCACTGCCCAGACTGTGGCCGGGCAGGGAGGGAGTAGGGGAACAGATACTCCTCTCTCATCTCTCACCCCCAGTCACCTGCCAGGCTTCCCCACTGGCAGAATCCACCAGAAGTGATACAATTTGCTTTTTTTGTGGCCACAGGAGGAAGCCCTCAATACACAGCTGCTCATAGGCAGCAAATATCCTGCTGGGTGTCTGGGCTTGTGCTGAATGCTGAGGATAGAGCCGAGAACAGGTTCCTCCGGCACCCGACACCTGTTACCTGCTCAGTTCCTTCCTTCCTTTCTAGTACTTTCCACCTTCTGACATACCATAAACCCCGCTATTAGTATTTATCTGGTTTATGTCAGCTCCCTGAAGGCAGGGATTCCTGTGTTTTGTTCACAGCTAAATCGCCAGATCCCAGCACACAGTACACAGTAGGCGCTCCATAAGTGTGGTTGTTAAAAATTGTGGTAAATGTGCAGACCATAAAATTTACCATTTTCACTATTTTTAGGTGTACAATTCAGTGGCATTCAGTACAAGAAACTTTGTTCCCATTAAACATTTAATTCCCCATTCATAAAATAGCTGTAATTTTGTGACTGGGTTATTTCACTTAGCATAATACTTTTAAGGTTCGTCCATGGTGCAGCATGTGTCAGAATTCCTTCCTTTTTAAGACTGAATAATATTCCATTGTCTGGATGGACCACAGTTTGTGTATCCATTCGTTCATCAGTGGACACCCGGGTGGCTTCCACCTCTTGGCTCTTGTGAATCAGGCTGCTATGAACGTGGGTGTACAAGTATCTCTTTCTTTTGCACATATACCCAAAAGTGGAATTGCTGGATCCTATGGTAATTCTACCTTGGACTTTTTGAGGAACCTCTAAACCATAAGATTGTTGTGAATTCGTGAGTGAGCTGCTTCTCAGGGGCCCAGAAGCAGAGTGGGACTTGTCCTTAAAATCCCTTTTTTGCCTTTCGATTTGGAACCATGTGAATAAATTCCTTTCGATTTGGAACCATGTGAATAAATTACTTATTTAGGAACAAATAATAAAAAAAAAATTAAAAAGAAAAGAATGGCAGGAAACGTTTGTTTCTTGGAGCCATTGAAACCACCAAATTGGAAACCACAGACAGAGCAGGCAAGTGACAGTGTCCAGCAGCTGAATAGGAAATACATCAAGTTCAGGGGCAGCCTTCCCCTCTGGGCCTTCGCCTCAGCTGTTTCCCCTGCCTGGTACACCCGTCTCCTGACATCCATGTGGCTCCACTTTAGCTCCCTCAGGTCAGAAAGGTGGTCCCAGGCCACCTGATCTCAAATAACACCTCACCTCCCCATTTTGCTTTTTCCATATCACGTCCCCATCTGCCACACTATATATTTTACTTATTTATCCTTTTTTTTTTTTGGCTGTCTTGATGTCCACACCACATGTGCAAGGAATTTTATCAATTCTCTTCCCTGCAGTGTCTCCAGGGCCTATAACAGGGCTGAGCACGCAGTAGGCACTCAAGAGATTTTTTTTTTTTTTTGCTGAAGATTTGCCCTGAGCTAACATCTGTGCCGATCTTCCTCTACTTTGTATGTGGGTTGCCACCACAGCATGGCTGATGAGCAGTGTAGGTCATCACCCGAGAATTGAACCCGGCTCCCCGAAGCCGAGCATGCCGAACTTAACCACTAGGCCACAGGGCCAGCCCCAAGAGATATTTATTGGTTAAATGAAAAGCAACCTTCCTCATTTCTTAGGGCCAGGAGTGGACAACACCCATTTCCAGACAGCTTCTCCCTCCAGGGATGAAAGGGGAGTAGTGGAAAGCAAACATTCTCCACAATATTTGTGCTGTTTTGTTTTCTACCTGAGTGGCTG